TCACATTAGAGATTGTGTTTAACTTAAGTCTTGAGGTAACGGCTTGGATTAAAGCTATTTCTTAAGTAGTGCTAAGCATCTAGTCTACGCCAGTGCACATCTCTTTGACAATTTCCTGAAACGTATAAGATTCATATGAATCTAAAAATTAAGATCAGTAGTTGACGCAGGCGCCATTACAGAACTTATACATTCTATACAAAACGGATAAGACATGTTAATGGCAACATGAAGAAGCTCAACACACAGGCAGCCTCCTCACAGAAGCTTGTCCCCTGACAAGCAGGCTTCTCAATCCACTGAGCAAGATGAGCACTCAGCTCCCCATCGGAACAGCGCGACAAGAATTTCCTGAACAAAGAGGAGGAGACAGAAACCCACTATTGGAGAATAAAACAACTGATGTTCAAATGGTACCACAACAGAAACATTAACACACAGCGTACTTACACCCGATGAACTCGAGCTATGAGAATCCAATGTCCAGAGCCGACAGCAGCTCATCAGTGTATGGTGATAGAGTTTATACACAACATAAATCTTCTACAGACTCATATTGGCAGTGAGTAAAAAGAGGACACAAAGAAACTTAGCAACCTACGAGCACATCCTGGTGAGTATGGTCTATTCAATCGGTCCAGTAACAGGTGTACGGGGTCTGATTTCATCAAGGGTCCCTCAGTGCATGCCTTGGACCCTGGATGCGGAGCATTCTGGTTCTACCATGTGCACTTTCTTGCCCCTATTTTCCCTCTTCTGAAGAATGGGATAACCCCTAGCAAAAAGTATAGTGGAGAACACCAATGTCTATAAGTGCGCAGGAAGCACATCTAGCACTAGGCAGGTACCAATAAACTGCACACTTACCTCTATCGAAACGGTGCCCACGCCTGGGTGGCCAACGTTCCTCACCCTCAGTCCAGCTCCAGGGAGGTCGCAGTCAGTCCAGGGAGGTCAGCCCAACCAGGCACCGGAACACCAAGGTAATAAACTGTGAAAAGTATACTTTAGAAATGTATCCACGTTCCTACGCACATGTATAGATTATTAAGTTCAAGGACGAACGAAGGGCAAACGCCGGCTGCGGTGTCTGAGAAGAACAACACACTTAAGGGCACTACGAGGGCGAACACCAAAACTAATAAACATCTTGATGGCAATGACAATCACTCAAGAAGTTGACACTTCCTGGCAGTCTTTAGTTTAGAAACCACACTTCCCGAGACGTCCCGTTCCAACAGGCACCATTCTGATAAATCCTCTAGCTCAACTCATGGGTAGTATCTCCCACTATTGGGGCCCAGGGAGACCTGCGGAATGGCGGGGACGCGGCGTTCCCCTCTTAGTAACAGCACGTACGTAATACAGGTGTTATATCATGTCTTCCTTCACACTGGAAGATAATAACACATTCTTCTTATGGATGAAAATGATTGAAGAATCAAGAATTACTAGCAACTCTTCTTCCAGTAGCTTAGAAAACTGCCTTTTTCAAGACAGATGCAATTTTACTTAATATCTCTGAACCTTAGTTTTATCATCTGTGAATTTAAGGGAGCTAGAGGATTTTATCAGACGGTGCCTGTTGGAACGGGGGACGTCTCGGGAAGTGTGGTTTCTAAACTAAAAGACTGCAGGAAGTGTCAACTTTAGTGATTGTCATTGCCATTCAAGAATGTTTTATTAGTTTGTGTTCCCCTCGTAGTGCACCCTTCACGGTTTCTTCTCAGACACCAGCGGGTTCCCTCTTTCTCTTGAACTATAATAATACTCTATACATGTGCGTAGAACGTGATACATTTCAAAGTGTACTTTTCACAGTTTATTACTTGGTGTTCCCGGGTGCCTGTTGGAGCTGACCTCCCTGGACTGGACTGACCTCCCTGGGGATAGGTCGCCGAGCATCTCCTGCCCCGGAATCTGGCACGCTGACTGGGACCGAAGGACAGACGGCCACAAACACGCCACGTTGCAGGCGC